ATTTTTTTTTTTTTAATTTGGTAGAGAATGTCGATGTGACCTTCTCTGGTTGTTGAGTTTATTTTTCTGCATAACATAGTTTTTTTTTTTCGGATTTTTTCGAGACTTTTTTTTTTTTTCTTTTTTTTTTTTTGCTGGGACCTTCTCTGGTCCTTGCACGGGCTGGCCACCCAGGACCCGGGCAGTCCGGCTGGTAGCCTAGTTACGAACAGATTTAAACCACCACTCCCCCCCGTAGCCGGAAAATGGCTACCAGGCTGGGGCCGTGTACTGGCGGATCGTGGCGGTTTAACCCCCCCCCCCAACCCCTCCCCTCCCTTGCTGGATATTGGCTTTCCAACCGACCAACGAGTCCAGAGTGCGTTTTTTTCCGAATTTTCCAGGCTGAGCACATGATAGCCTGGAGCACATGATAGCTCAACCGAGAGGTCAGGTACCCCCCTATCTTCTCCAGCCTGAGGGGAACAAGACATGAGTCAAGACGGTATATAAAGAAGAGGCATAGCGTGGTCAGAGGTGAAGCATTGGCCGGGTGAGAGCACTTTGAGGTGTGGGGATAGGCGTAGGGTCACAGTTGAAAAGGGTAGGGTGGTTAGGCTTGCCAAAAGTTCAGCATGTGGGATAAGGGGTTCCATGGCTAGATGCTGACAGATGAGGAAAGAGTTGTTTTTGGGGGTGGCCCGGCTGACCCTGGCAATAGTAGGTCCAGTCTGGCTAGCTGTCGGCGCGTGCAGCTGGGCCTGGAGTCTGGACGAGTCAGGACGACTGTGGTAGCCCAGGTATTCTAGGATTCTGGCCCATTGATCTATATATCTACAACACTATACTAGCTTAGCGCCCGCGGTGCGGGTGGTGGGGGCGGTGCGGGCGACGCCCGCATAAAAGAACATGGGAAAACTCAGCTGAAGTATTCACACAGACTCAAACGGCCATATACAGCATAAAATACTCAACATGTGCATAAAACAGGCTGGTTGAGTTACTTTGGGCCGCTTTTAGTACATGTTCAATGTGTTGTGTTCTATATGTCCATTTGAGGGACCCAGTGTGTGAGTACTTGGACTGATCTTTGCCATGTTCTTCTTTCGAAAAAACTGTGCCTGTGACCGCTGCACAGTTCAGAATTCGCAGAAATAATAGTCCACGGCAAGATTGGGCCGTGAGCAGTTTGAAACAGCAAGAAAAACAGTGAACTGCGCCTTAGACGGCCTACCGGTACAATAATCGGCAAAAACGGGAGGTGGCCTGGCCTAGCAGGCCCTCCCGGTTTTTTTTGTTTATTGTTTTTTTCGTTTTTGGCTTCTGGCGGGAACAGGAAACGCCGTCGACCTCTCACCGTTAACACCCGCCCCACTCTCTCTCTCTCTCTCTCTCTCTCTCTCTCTCTCTCTCTCTCTCTCTCTCTC